CTCTCTCTCTCTCTCTCTCTCTCTCATTCCTTTATAGAACTACATTTATACATAATTGCTTTGATATCGACAAAGAAAACAGAGTACGATAATAAAGTGACAATAAAAGAGAAACAATAGTCAAGGAACATGCGGTAGCCATCATGGAAAGTAATTTATTTTACTTTGTACGCGATATAGGAAGCAGTAGGAGTATCTTCACCTTATCGGCGAGGTATATAACGTTGATTTCCTATCGCCAAGGTGGAAAGAAAATATGCGTGCTAATTTTTTATAAAAAATTATTTTCTCCGAAAAAAAAAAAAAAAAATAAAATAAAATGGTCCTCGTGAACATCGTCACCATTAGTGCCAATATCACTGTTAGTTTCTACGCCTTTCGTAAGCTTATGTTCCACTTGTCCGACGTCACATTTTAAAGTTACAGTGACGAATATTAAAGTAGCAAATTTTTAAATTACAATAAAAAGTTTTAAAGTTACAAGCAATAAGTATTAGGCTTATTTTATCACTAAAATCTTAACTGCAATTGAGGTAAAAATATGGCGGTTATTACGCACGTAATCTAAATCTAACAGCGTCATCCGCAACAGTGTTCATTTTGACATCAAATGGCGTCATCCGTAATTATTAATCAACTTAGTTAGTAAGAAGTTGGAGAAACGAACGATGCGGGTTTACTCTAATTTCATTGACGAACAACGATCGAGGATCTTGGCACTAATTTAATTTCCATATAGGCTCTGAACTGATCGGCTTATCGATCACTGATTATCTGGTTTCCAACCTAGACAGCTGCCGATAATCCGTTTGATATTTAACGACCGTTAGACATTCGAACTTGGACAACGTTTAATCCGGACCTTTAATTATTATTCATGAGCCGGGATGGTCTTTCGCTGTAAAGTGATAAGCCACGCATTCTTTTTTTTTTTAACGAGATCCCTGCCTGCCTCTCATCTCGGTCCTCTCATCTTTGCGCCAGCTAAAACTGTTACACGAAGCGATATCTACAGAAGGAGTTTCCATAACCTAACCTAAAACTTAATCTAAAACCTAACCTAAAAGGATTAAAGCATGGAACTTTCATCGGAGATAATTAAAGTGAAAAAACTGTGAAATATAATAGAATACACGAGCTTTTATTTGTGTATTTTATAAAAAATCATTTAAATCTCAAAAAAAAAATATAGTGTTTTACATTTATAATGTATCTGACAAAAATTATGAATTAGTCATTTTGGCCACTTCGGTAGCTCTAGTGTTAATATTGTGCCAGTTAAAACTATTACACGAAGCGACATCTACAGAAGGAGTTTCCGTAACCTAACCTAAAAGGACTAAAGCATGGAACTTTCATCGGAGATAATTAAAGTGAAAAAACTGTGAAATATAATAGAATACACAAGCTTTTATTTGTGTATTTTATAAAAAAATCATTTAAATCTCAAAAAAATATATAGTGTTTTACATCTATAATGTATCTGACAAAAATTATAAATTAGTCATTTTGGTCATTTCAGTAGCTCTAGTGTTAATATTGTGCCAGCTAAAACTATTACACGAAGCGATATTTACTGGAGTTTCCATAACCTAACCTAAAACCTAACCTAAAAGGACTAAAGCATGGAACTTTCATCGGAGATAATTAAAGTGAAAAAACTGTGAAATATAATAGAATACACAAGCTTTTATTTGTGTATTTTATAAAAAAATCATTTAAATCTCAAAAAAATATATAGTGTTTTACATCTATAATGTATCTGACAAAAATTATGAATTAGTCATTTTGGTCACTTCGGTAGCTCTAGTGTTAATATTGTTCATCGGAATTCCATCACAATGACTGAATTTCGAGTTTGAAAAAATTTTTTCGTTTGCTTTTTCCTTTTTTGTACAGTTGTTTAAAGTCACATCGACATCGAGATCATTAGCGACTAGGTACATATATGGTACTTGTATTTTGTAGTATAGATTTGTGTCCATCAAGTATTCTCTTCAGACTGTTGCGTTGATCTGTGACAGACTTTTGACATCTATTGCAAAAGGGAGGATCAGCCTTCTTGATTAGGTGTTCATTCAGTCGAGTATAATTCAGTATAATTGTCAATTTTTTGATTAAAAGGAATTTCTTGATAGAAGTCATTTACTACTACGTTGTTGATTTAACGTAATTCATAGTCGGTTGCATTCGTCCTTGTTTT